GCCCTGAGACAGCCCTTTTCCGGATCTTTTTCAGATGACTCTCCTTGGGGTGTGGGGAGCTGCTGTCCCAGGGGAAAGGCTGGCAGGGACCAGGATACCTGTGTCTCTGCTGCAAGGCCCAGCAGTATTTTAGGTGTCTACGGGGTTGCAGGGCAGCCAAGCAAGGCACTAGCAGACAAAAACACTTGTGAACATCCAGAGATCCTTTTAGAAGAGGGAGGGGGTTTGTTTCTGTCATGGATTAGAACCATGTTCTGGTGGGGCATTAGGCATGAAAGGGTGAGAGTCCCTACTAGAGCTGATCAAGTACAGACCAGGACTTCTATGACTAATAGGTGGGACCAATAGATGTGGAAGGACAGGCTAGGAAAGTCAAGCTTGAAAATGAACTTGACTGTGGGCCTCTGTCTCCTCATCTGTAATATGGTCCCAAGTGAGGGCCTTTGACACCTCCTGATAGATGAATACTTCAGGCCAGGTGTGTCTCCTGTGTTTACTGGTACCCTTCACCAGCCCTCAACATACACGGGGAGTGCGCACTCATTTCTGTCCCTTCTAGCTAGCATCCTAGAGATTTTCCTATGTCTCCCATTGGTCATTGTGCTTGGACAGCCAGCCCTGTTGTGCTCCTGGGTCTAGAGGCCTGGAGCCCCCTCTAGGCCAAGAGAGGGATGACCCCACTGAGACCTGTGGCTGTTTTGGGGAGCCTGAAAAGAAAGATGGAAATGGACACCTTTTTCTGCTAGATAAGAATGGTGCCAGCCCCCTTACCTCAGTCAGCGATCCTCAGTGGAGAGGAAGGAATAGAGCACAGAGCAGTAGAAATAATGCCGGACTGAGAGACAGGAAATGTGATTGTGTCCCAGTTCTCCACTTATGACCAAACTGACCCGGGGTATCAGTGGCCCCAGCTGTAAGATGTAGAATTGATAAAATGACCTCTATAAGGCCCTCCAGCTCTAATACGCTGTGAATTTGTGATCAGCTCTTACACATTTTCCCGTTGTACTCCCTAGCCTGAGCTGATACTTCCGCATTAGTCAGGGCTGCCTGTGCATTTGGGTGGCCCTTTGTGTGTTTTTGGGGGTGGGGGTGAGTCCTCTGTGTGTTCAAATATTGCTACATACCTTCCTGGCTGTCTTTAGGTAGAGTTACACAAGAGGGTAGTACCAGTATCCTCGGAGCCCTGAGTGGTGGGAATGTGGGGCTTCACCAGTCTGTAGGGTCAGACCCAGGCCTGAGCCCCACTAGCATTTTTGTTGCACTGGGAGGTTAACATAGAAGGGCGTCCTGAGCCCCCAGCAGGCTCTGACTCCCCTTCCCTGAAAGTGCTGGGCCTGGGCTCAGGTACTTTGTCTCTGTTTGTCCACCAGTACCCTGTCCAGCTGCTCCCATGCGGTGGTGGCCTTGCTGTACCCCTTCTCCTGGCAGCACACCTTCATTCCTGTCCTCCCGGCCTCCATGATTGACATCGTCTGCTGTCCCACCCCCTTCCTGGTTGGCCTGCTCTCCAGCTCTCTCCCCAAACTGAAGGAGCTGCCAGTGGAGGAGGTGGGCCACCTGGGGAACCTGCTGGGTGGAAAGGGTGGAGGAAGGGATGGAAGGAACAGAAACCCCCAGGAAGAAAGGGCAGAGTGGGGGGTGGAGGGAAGAAAGGCACTGGGATCTTCTCATTTGTGACCTCTGGCCTCTCTACCCAGCTCTTAGCCTTTCTCCCTGGGAACGCCGTCCCCAGCTGGACTTATTCCTCTTCTCTGACCTTGGGAATCCAGGGGTCTAGAAGCCTGGGGAGGGCATTGCAGGGATTCACACTCTGAATCACTGCCATCAATGACTCTTTTCCTCAGGCACTGATGGTGAATCTGGGATCTGACCGATTCATCCGACAGGTAAGCGTGGGACGCTGCAGAACGTGGCCTGCTCTCGGATGGGTGCAGACCCCAGAGCACCCAACATGGTCACATACACTGCTCAACCCTTACAGCCTGTTTGTTGAGCTCTCTGGGTTCCATAGTCACAGACTAGACATGGGTGGGGAGAAGCTGATCTGAGATGTCTTGTCCTCAAGCAGGATCTGCCTTTCTGGTTGGCATCATCAGTTTCTGGAAGGCAGTGCGGGAGCACAAGGAACATGGCCTGGAATTCTAAAGACTTGACCTCTGAGCTCTGACACCTTTGAGCCACATGATCTTGCACAGACCCATGAACTTCTCTGAGCCAGAGTTCTCATCTCTGTACCAGGCATGGTGATAGCACCTGCCGTGGAATGTTGCTAGGAGGTTACACATGACGCCATGGAATGTAAGGTTTGCAGTCATTGCTGGCAACTTCAAAAAGCCTTTGTTAGTCATTTACATGCTCCTGGCTCTCTACAAAGGAGCACAGCCCAGTGCCGTACCCTCTCAGAGTGTACAGTCTGGTATATGCAGAGCTATGGCTCCTGGGTACAAGATATCAAGGTATGACACTGAACCAGAACGTAGAGACAGGAGTGGCAGCCTAACCTCATACCTGAGACACAGGCTGGGCCAGTCTCCCCACCCTGAGCCAGATGTGCTTCTCACCTGGAGCTGAAGATGGAGAAATTGGGGTGCTGGGGTAGGAACCCTTAGCTAGTCCGGGGCAGTGAATGCCACCCACCCCACCACTTTTTATCTGTGTGACCTTGGACAAGTTTCTTAACTTCTCTCTGTGCCGCAGCTGCTCATCTTAAAATGAGGTTGATAAATAGTATCGGGGTTATTGGGAGAATTCAGTGAGATTGTATATTTAAGTTCTGCATACAGGGCCTGGCACATAGTAAGTGCTCAATCAGTGTCAGCTGTGATTATCACTGTGTGTTTTCCTTCTCCTGCAGATGGATGATGAGGACACGCTGTTACCTAGGAAGTTACAGGCAGCTCTAGAGCAGGCTCTAGAGAGGAAGAACGAACTGATCTCCCAGGACTCTGACAGCGACTCTGATGATGGTGAGTGAGGCTTGGCCCCAGACTCCCTCTGCTCTGGGTCCGGGCCTCATGGAGCCAGAACCCTGTTTCCATGCACCAGATCCTTCCGGGATGTAGGACCTGATCTCACACTAGCCTAGAATTCTCTAGCCCTACTACCAGTGGTGTTCAGGGAGTTACTGCTTGACTGGGTCTGAGGAGAGAGAAATACTCTGGTATTTTGTCAGGGAGCGCAGGAACATAAACCACATTGGGGCTGCTTCCAGGCTAAAGCTCCCCTCTCCTCTCTAATTCTTCTTTACCTGTGGAGGTTTGGAAAGGAAAACCCAAAGACTTCTTGCAGACAGGAAACTAGTTATTCTTCCCTCTCGGGCCTTTCCTGGAGCCATTGCCAGAGATAGAGGGAGCTTCCTCTTCCTGTGAAGCCAGGAAAGCCACCTAGGGTGAGGGGTGTGGGGAAAGGTGTCCTCTGGTCTCTGATTTCCACACTCATTCATCCAGCAAGAATTTGCCAGGCTCCTTCCTTGGGGGCTAGATACAAGCCCGGGAGCATAGGAGACAGAGTTTCAAGAACAGCTAAGCGGTTCTGGATGGGCGTTTTATTGGGGAGAGAGAGACCACACCAACTGGAGTTGGGGGTTGTAGGTTGGAAATTGCAGGCTCTTGACCTGAACCTCAAAGGTTTTCTTTTCTCTTCCAGAATGTAATACCCTCAATGGGCTGGTGTCGGAGGTGTTTATCCGGTTCTTTGTGGAGACTGTTGGGCACTACTCCCTCTTTCTGACCCAGAATGAGAAGGGGGAGAGGGTCTTTCAGCGAGAGGCCTTCCGCAAGTCTGTGGCCTCCAAGAGCATCCGCCGTTTTCTCGAGGTTTTTATGGAGTCTCAGATGTTTGCTGGCTTCATCCAAGACAGGGAGTTAAGGAAGTGTCGGGCAAAGGGTAAGGTTAGAAGAGTTTGGGGTTGGGGTCAGTGGGCCCTCTTCTCTAACTTCTCTGCTAACAGCAGGGCTGAATAGCTAAGCACTGTGATGGAAGCTCGTGGGTGTCATCTAGGGCCAGGCCGCCTAACGTCCCTTTTCTTCTGATAGAAACTTCCAAGGGAGTTTTCCTCTCCTGCTGTCCCAGTAAATGCCTTCCTAAGGCTGTGCACAGGCTGGAGCCAGGTGGCTAGAGTGGGGCTCAGCTCCACCAAGAGTAGCATGCCGTTGGTTGCCCAGTCCCTTCTTATCCAGGGAAAAGGACCCAGCTGAGCAATTTAGGGGGTTCTGAGAATCCAGGGTTGGGAAGGCCTGTGAAGAGAATTGAGCTAACTATCCTGGGTTGGTGGCAGTTGCATTCAGAGCAGAAGTCATCTTATCTCTAGTTATTTCATCAGCTCTGATCACTAGGGCTTTTCCATCTCATCAAGATCTTTCTATCTAGCCTCAGGGTTATTATTCTGTCCCCTAATACTGTCCATTTAGTCTGACAAACCTTTTGAACCAACCTGGTAGAGTGGTCTAAAAGGAGCTAGAGAAGGTGTCCACTCAGGGGCAGCTTGGAAACAAGGAGTGGCATCTTCGCCATAATGCAGCTCAGGAAGCAAGGTATCGAGGGCCTTTTGCTATCAGCAGTCAATGTCATTAATGATAGCTTTGATGAGCCAGTCTGAATTCTGAGATGCTCCTACAAATTATAATCGTAGCTCCTTGGTCTCTCCCTGGTTGGGGGCTGTGCCTCACGGCCTGCCTCCGGTGGGCCCCCCCTTCCCTCCCGCCCGCCGGTGACTGTCCCCCTCCCTGCCTGTCTCTCTCCCCCAGGCCTCTTTGAGCAGCGAGTGGAGCAGTATTTAGAGGAGCTCCCCGACACTGAGCAGAGTGGGATGAATAAGTTCCTTCGAGGCTTGGGTAAGTAGCCTTGTCACAGATGAGGTAGACGCTCAGCAAGAAGGAAGGGGCATCTGTACCCCCGAACTGTTCTAAACCAGTGCCAGTGGGTATTTACACTGGGGCTATAGACAGAACAGGAAGAAATCCCTTCGTGAAGAAAAGGTTCCCAGTGCAGTGCTCCAAGGGCTTTTAGCTCATTTACAAAACTGCAGAACCAAGAGAAACCACAGCAACTCACCTAAGACAGGTCTTTCTGGGTGCACTCCTTCCTGGGTGACTATGAAGGCCATAGGACCAGTGAGCTTTCTTCTAGGCCATAAGGGGCCTGTCTACGAAAGTAGCAGCGCCAGAGTGCCCTTCTCTGAAAACCTCCACTCCTTTCACAGAGCTCAGGCAGCTGTATCATAGAATCATAGTATGTCTCAGTTTAAAGGGAAATGGAGGCCAAATGGAAGTTAAATGGCGTGTCCAAAGCCACACAGCGATTAATACCAGAGCCCTCATTAGAGCTCCAGAGTGTTTTCTCTTCCCTGGATCAGATCTATCACAGCTGTAATCCAATCCTTCTAATCCTTGCTCTCCCACAGAGAGGGTTAGGGCTGTTGGAAGAGATGATATTGAAACATTCTCACTCTTGCCCTTTCTGGCCCACAGGCAACAAAATGAAGTTCCTCCACAAGAAGAATTAAGCTCCTTTCCCAGTAACAGAGTCCAGTGCCTTGCAGAGCCTGGAGCCTGGGGAGGGGGCTTAGCCTGGGACCCTCTGGGCTGCTGTGGCTGCTCTGCCCCCACAGACCCCACCCTCCAAGCCAGCCCACCCCTGCCTTCACAATATCCCAGGATACTGTTTGTAAATAATCTGCTGTAAGCTTTCTTATCTGTTTTTGTAACAAGCAAAGAGAATCTGGTAAATATTTGTATATTCCCAAGGGGCTGGGTGCTTTCCTGCCCTGCCTGAGCATGGATCAATTTTGCTGGGTGCTGGTGACTGGCCAATTATGTGCAGCTGACTGTCTCAGCCGAACCACTGATCTTCCCTTGGAGGCTCCTGGCCTGCCTGCCTGCCTGAGGCCCCTGCTGCCAGTCTTGGGCCCTGGAGAGCAGATGCTATCTTGTTATGTACAGGAGGACTATTTTTTTTTTAAAATCTTAGAGTTTCTATTTTTTTTCTAGTAGTCCCCCTCCCCTAACCCTGTTTCTGAAGGGCACAGGCCAATCAATCCCCGTTTGCAGCATGGTACCAGGCTCTGGGACCTGGCCTTCTTTTGCTCCTCCCACCTCAGTGATGGTCAGTGAGTCATGGGAAGCCCACCCCCTGGCTCTGCCAGTGCTCTCCAGGCCCAGCTCCGTCAGTGGCGGCCATGATGCGGTACAGGGCATCCCTCCTTCCCACCATCTACGGGTGTTCTCAATAAACAATGTACAGTTGTTTGGGCCCAGAGTCCCGTGTGTTCCTTGGCTTCATTATGCAGAACTTTCTCTCTGGGGGGATGGGCTGAGATAGGCCAATCAGGGGTGAAACACCATCATGCTGAGAACTGAGTACTTGATCAAGCATTTAACTTCAGTGTGGGTCACTGACCTCCCCTGAAATCAGGTTCTCTGGCCTGGGTTGTATGACTAGTCTTAGAGTTAGAAGTTACCTAATCATTGTTCTAGTTTAATGTTTCTAATTCTGTGTCAGTGTTCCCAGTGATGGAAAGAATGCTCATTGCCCTTTCCACTATTAGGTGAATCTTAACATTTTCCTGTTCAGTATGAAGCCCTCAGGACATCACTGGGTATCCTGACATAGGTGGAATGCAGCACAGCTAAAGCCAACCAAGCCTGCTCATACGGCTCTTCCGTATCACCCTGTGAATAGTTATTTCTTTTGGAACCCTAGGTTTGAATACAGACATTCTCCTACATTCCATGGAAGAGCAAGGAGACAAGCAGGCTGAGGAATATGGGTGACTTAGGCTTTCTACCCACGCAAGGCCTTCCCAGAGTAGAGACCTTGAAAATTCCCAAGATGAGGCGTTAAGCTGGAATTCTGTTCATTGGTATTGGATTTGGGTCTGGTGGGATTAGAACCATGGAGTAAAGTTTTCCTGTCCTTCCACCCTAGCTACTAGGAGACGATTCCGTCCTGAGCTCCCTTTCCTCGTCTCCATCTCCATTGAGGCCTGCGCAGGTTTTGGGTTGCTTGTCTGCCTCATAACGCAAAGCAGAGGATATGTCTTCTGAGAAGACAAAGTCATTTCTCTTAAAAAAGCCTCCTACATAGTTGGCCTTGGCATCTTCCAGGAATGAGAAGGTGGGAATTGAGGCCTCATGGGTCTGGGCCTTCAGTTGAGGTAGGTAAGGACAGTAGTTATAACCAGAAAGTCCAGAGTGGGGTGTAGTTACCTCCCAAATGTGTCACTCTTTGCCCAGCCTGGGCTTCATGACAATCATAGAAGTTGATTCCTTAATAATAAAATAATAATACAGTTTCCAAAAGGTG